TTTCTCTTAATGTTGTACGCTGCCCTGAGTCCTTGGGAGAAGGGCGGCATATAAATCGAATAAACCTAAACCTAAACCATACCAACAAACTCCCTACTTTTAAACCATTGTCCATTTCTTGAGGTTCTGTACTATACTTTCACCACAAAAGATAATGTTTAATTCCTAAAAATAGTGTTACGCCTACTATGTAAAGTAGCTGTTTAATGTCTTTTTATTTTCTTTTAATGTATTTTAAACATTTATTGAACTTCCACTAGGTAAGATTTAAGTGTTGAAGTAGTTAAAGAGATACTTTTTCATTTTATATGATAGTCTTGATCTGACTAGTCATAAATCTTGAAGTGGATGGGTGGACAGTTTTTTTTAATTAGATATTGAGAGTGTTGAGCATTGAGCATGTCTTAATTTTTCAGTTAGATTATGCAGGTTATTTCAGATGTAACAAGGCTTTTATTATTTTTACTATTTTTGAAAGCAGTTCTAATACAAATGAAAAAGATTACATGAATGCATGTGTGTGTTTTTAAATTTTATTTATTTATTTTTTTGGTAAACATTTTTTATTTTATAACATAAAAATTCCAATTTCAGTTGAACAGTGTGTTGTGTGGGTACAAGTAATTTTAGAAAATAATAATCAAAATGTTTACAGCAATAGTAGTTACATTAACATTGATTCTATAGTGACAGTAATACTTGCTTAACCATTTTAACAAATCTCTTATAACATTAGTCCTTTTCTTACATTTCCACATTTCTAACTTCTGTTTTTATTAGCCAACCATTGATAAAAAGAGTCCCATGTCGAAAATATTCAGTTTCTTTTTTTTCCTTAATTATCATTGTTAATCTATCCATTTCTTCACTTTCTAATATTTTTTAAATTACATTTTCATCTGTCGGGATTTCTTCACTTTTCCTGTGTTTTTTTAATTTATATGCTGTCTAACTGAGCAGTGTGCATATGTATGTATATATGTGTGTACACATACATATCACTTACATACATATACCCACACACCATTTGGAGAGCTTTATAGACACAGGAGGCTCTCTGCTATCTATTCATGTCTCTTATGTATGAAAGGGAGGCAATGTTAACCAGAGCAAGTGGAAACAGAAAACTTCTGTCCATTCAGAAGAGCAGAGAATGCTTGTGCTGAGTTTAATGTAATGTGTAGACGTTGTCTAGAATTGTTTGCAATTGAGTGTACGCTATATTTCTGCAACTTCAAAGAGTTGAACCTGAATGGACAGGATTGCGGCTCTATTTCTTATGATACATTTAAAAATGTGCATTTTCAGAAATTCGTAAGCTTTTTGTTTGCAACAAAAAATAAAGGACAATTAACAATTAAGTCTTTCTAATTTTTTATTTGTTTTTGCAGCCTATCCAACTGATTAATAGTACGGTAGAAATGGTAAAATCTGGAAAACTGCCTAGTGGTAAAACAGAAATTCCTTTTGAATTCCCACTGCAAGTAAAAGGAAGCAAAATTCTTTATGAAACTTACCATGGAGTTTTTGTCAATATCCAGGTGAGAACAGATGACAGTCTACAAAAACCTTACTCTTTATAGTGATTGTACACAATTGCTTTAATTTTTTTAAGATTAAGCGAAGGAAATTCCATTAAAAGAGTTGTCTGATAGCATGAATTTCTTCTTTTATTCAAGTTTAAAGAATCCCATAAGAGCTATAAAAAACTGCACCTTAACGTATTTTCTTCATATTTCCATTATTTAAAATGAAGCAAACTATAGATCCTAGCAAATCAGAAAAATATTGAAGAGGAGATTCTTCATAGAAATGTACAGACTTTTTACATTGTCAGATTTTTTTTAAAAATGAGATTCATCTTACGTAACATAAGCTCAGATCACTATAAATAAGTTTCTTTCTGTAAGCTACAGTATAGCATAACAGAAGTGATCTGGCGTATGGTTTTAATTCAGAATTGATATGGCTCAGTGTCTAATCACTTTTTATTGGTTAAACATGGGAGTTTTAACTAACAAAACTCATTGGGATTTATGATGGAGGCTTCCTTTGAGCTAATGATGTACTGCAGAAATTTTTGTCTCAAAATATTTGCTTCCCTTCCTTTAGCAAATTATTCAAATCTATCCAAGATATTAACATACCTAGTCTTATGAAAAACACTAGGATTATTCTTCTTTTTTGCAATGCTTTTTATTTCTAATCTTGAATAACATGGCTTTATTATTACTATAGTTTTAGGGAGATGACCATTGGATTTAGCCCAGTAGCAAAAAATGATTGAAATCCTGTATTTGCTTTGTGTTTTTAATTCCTGCTTTGATTTGATTTGATTTTCAGCAGTGTGCCCAAAATATTTTTGAACTGGAAGATTTTTAGAATATATCTTTCCTTAAACTAAAAACATTTTGAAATGATGCCTTTCTAGGTAGAATTTCCATAGTAGATAAAATTATAGTAACTATAAATAAAATACCAATTTACAAAATTAGAAATAATTAGTAATAAATACTTATTTTTTAATTTCATGAGCAGAATAATAACCTTTTTGTTTTGCATATTTGTATAGTATACTCTTCGATGTGATATGCGACGTTCTCTCCTGGCCAAGGATTTGACAAAATCTTGTGAATTTATAGTCCATTCACCAGTAAGTTTGCTTTTAGGAAGAGACTTGTGAATATATTCATTTAGTTGTAGTTGGATTATATAGAGGTCCTGGATTAGAACCAGAAAGATCTGAGTTGTCCACACTCAGCCAGGAAAATGATGGAATAACTTTGGGCCAAACATACTATCAGCCTATTCCGCCACCAGGACTTTTGTTCTTATGAAAATAGGAGGAGGGAGTGGCATATATGTCACTTGGAGCTCCTGAATGAAAAGCAGAACATAAATCTGATAAATAAAACAAGAATAGGGATTTGACCTTAATAATGAGTTCACTGTATAATATACTGTATGTATTTGTAGTTGCTGCTATAAGTGCCCTAAAATACTAGACTGGCCTTGGCTATAATATGAGTTTGCTCTTCATGATCATTAGATGGAATAGAAAATTTTCAAATGTTACTTTTTAGCTTAATTAGAGCATGCTTCAAATTATGGGATTAGAGCATGCTTCAAATCACGGGATGTTTGATTAACCTTAATTGATCTTACCAAAGTAATTTCTTCCCAAGACTATTCTAGTAGTGATTTATTCTAGCTCTTCTAACACTTAAAAGTACATGATTTCAAATATGCACTTTCTCAAAGTAATAAATGACTACTAGATTTATTTCTGAACTTTCTTTTCATTCTTTTTATAGCCTCAGAAAGGTAAACCAACTCCAAGCCCTGTAGACTTTACTATTACTCCTGAAACATTACAGAATGTGAAAGAGGTAAGAACCATTTTAGAAAAGCAGTTTTGTGGAATGGTTAAGGCAACAGACTGGACACTTATGAGTTCTAGTTGCACCCTAGGCACAAAGGCAGCTGGGTGGTATTAGGTTAGTCACTTTTTCTCAGTCCTAGGAAGGAGCCAATGGCAAACCATTTCCAAAAACCTTGTCAAGAAATGGCAGGGGCTTGTCTAGACAATTGCAAAGAATCCACACTAACTTGAAGCACAAAAAGAAAAAGAAATGGTTTAAAAAAGTTGAAGCTCCCAGAACAGTGGAAGAATAGGAGCACATGGAGTGAGGAAAGAAAATATTTCTATTAAAGGATGTATCTGAAGAAATTCCTTCCGTTTAGTTTTCAAAATGATTTTGGTGGCCGGAGGGGGGAGGGGGGAGAAAAATAGGTCTTTCTCTGTGGGGAAAAATCAGTTAAGCAAAACTAGATTTGAGAGAGCCAGCACTTTATAAAAGCCATCACTGCTTGGGAGAAAATCCCAAAGGAGCTCCTTTTCAAAGGGTTCCCGATAGCTTGAAATGGATCTTGGCTTTGAGAGGCAGGGCTTTGCTCATATCCTTTATATGTCATTGAGATTCCTGGAGAAGATATTGGGAGGTTTCTCTTAATTTTCAGTGATGAATGTGACCCTTTCTTTATTAAGGCTTATATAGGTGACTATTCTCAAGTATTTTGCATCTTACGATAATTAATTTAAGTTTCGCTGGTTTCAGTAGGCATGCTGTGAAGATGACTAAGTATAGATCCAACCATTCTTTATGAAGTGTGTAGTTTTCTGTATATTATAGTTCAATTAACTGTACCTACAGATTTAACATCTGAGGAGTTAACTGCAGGTTACACTAAATATATGTTTAGAAAATCACCTGTTACTTACATATATTTCACTTCTATTTTGAAGAAAAGATACTGAATGGGATAAGGAGAGGTGATGAAAGAGTAAAACGTAATTTCTTCTCTCTTCCGCTATGAGCTAATGAGAATAAGAGGCAAAGAGCCATGCTATAAAATGAACATAATATGTGACAAGAACATTTGTACAACTATTATATAAATTACCCCCCCCCCTCACTCACTCCCTCTCTTTGCTTTTAGAGAGCATTGCTTCCAAAATTTCTCATAAGAGGCCATCTCAATTCAACAAACTGCATCATAACACAACCTCTAACAGGGGAACTGATAGTGGTGAACTCTGATGCTGCTGTTAAAAGCATTGAACTCCAGCTAGTACGAGTGGAAACCTGTGGTATGTTTTTATGTCTGCCGGTGCATAAATTGGTGTTGGAGAACAGAATTGGAAGTGTATTCTTGAGTTGTGACTGTGAAATGCTTCTGTCATTCCAGATATTGATAGAGGACAGTTAGGCCCTCATCCACATCCAAATGTTTCCTGTTGTGATAATGGTATTGGTGGAATTTATTTGGCAGTTAACAATCTCATATACAAATAAATAAAACTTTGATGTAATTTTTATTAATTCCAAAGTGAAACCATCTTTAGAAGTTTGAAATAAATGTTCCAGATCTGTGTAATACTAAATTAACTTCATTAATTTTTAATAAGTTCATATTTGAAGTTCCTCTTGCAGCTCTGAAGTGATTTGGAACGGCTCCTCAAAGACATCCAACCTACATGAGTGACTCAGACATCTTGATGATGAATGTTTAATTATTAAACCTGCCTGCATTTGAATGTATTATTTAGTAAGTTGGGGGCTCTGAATGCCACTTGTCTCTCATTTTTGCAAAGGCTGTGCTGAAGGTTATGCTAGAGATGCCACTGAGATTCAGAACATTCAGATTGCTGATGGCGACGTCTGCAGAAATCTTCCTATTCCAATCTACATGGTCTTTCCAAGATTATTTACATGTCCTACACTGGAAACTACAAACTTCAAAGTTGGTAAGAACTGCATTTTAAACTGTTAAGACATACACACAGGGTGTTGCCCAATGCTTTATTTCCATTATGGTCACCCAACACTTAGAACAAAAAACTATTGGTAGGATATCAGCTGTACAAACCTGTATCATGTTTTCCTTTACTTGACTTTTCCATTGAAATAGGTGTGATTTTGTTAACTTCTTTTTTTATAGTAGCGCTGGTTAACCATTTGGTTGTATTGTATCATCTTTTCTTGACAGCCTTTCCTTGGAAGAGTCATGATCATAATTACAGATTTTTGTAAAGACCTGAGATTGTTTGATACATTTTGTATACCACTGAATTCAGTTCATCTCCTAATAGTTAACCATAGATTAGAGTTTGCAGCAAATACCCATTCAGCAGAACTCAGAATCCAGAAGTAAAGAATCAGTAATCACAGAAACTATATAACTTTTTAAAGCCATTTTGCCCTCCCTAGGCTCCAGAGGCTTTATAGGAGCCTGGGGAGGGCGAAAACAGCCTCTCCACCCCCTCCAGAGGCTTCAGCAGCTTTCCTGAAGCCTCCAGAGGGCAAAAAACTGGCCCTATGGGCAAACCGGACATTCAGGAACGTTGCTCATAGGACTGTTTTTAGTTCTCCGGAGCCTTCAGGCCCCTTAAGGCTGTGGAGGGCTTAAATCGACCCTACGAGCCAACTAGAAGTCCGTTCCTGAATTTCCGGTTTGCCCATAGGGCCGGATTTTGGGGCTCCGGAGGCTTCAGGAAAGCTTCTGAAGCCTCTGAAGGGCCTCCGGGAAGGCGGGGAAGGCTGTTTTCACCCTCCCCAGGCTCCTATAAAGCCTCTGGAGCCTGGGGAGGACGAAAAAAGCATGCTAAAAATGTGTTGCGCCTGTCACGCACGCATGCGTGCTGGGGGGTCGCGTATTGCACATGACCCCCTGCCCTCCCCCCACATGCAAGCCAAAAAAGGTTTGCCATCGCTGTATTAAACATGAGTTTAGTTTAAGCAAAAGGAAAAGCTTGGATTGCTAGGTATATTTTTAAATATTTTTGAACAGTACTGATTTAATGTGTACTGCTTTACACTTTGCTATACTAATAACTTTATTTATATGTGCTACAGGTATCCCAGATGGTAGATCTAATAATCTGTGCTAATTCCAGAATATTTTCTTTTTTTCACAGAATTTGAAGTTAACATCGTTGTTCTCTTGCATGATGATCACTTAATCACAGAGAACTTTCCACTGAAACTTTGCAGAATGTGATTAGGTTTGCTTTACAATTATTATCAGACTAGATGCCTCCCATTTGTGGGGCATCAAAACAATTGGCATTGCAGGCACTAAGTAATATAGCTATGATTGAGCAGAATTTTAAGTTACAATAACAATGTTCTGAGCCAATAAGTCAGTGTTTAATAAGCACTGATTCACATTTGTCTGCAATGCCATTGCAATGCAAGTGTTAATCTAAGTTAAAATGGGGCCTTCATGGCCTACACTTCTGTCTATTCTTATTCGTTTATGAGAGTTCTGTGAGTAAGAAATTTAGACAGAGAAGAAGAGTTGCTTATAGCAATATGTTTTGACCAAAATTATTTTGTATATATGTCTTAGCCTATTATACTAAAAAAATTCTACCTTAATTTTGGAAACTTTTGTATGTCCTATGAGATGTCCCTACAGTCATGAGAGATTAGAAATGCACTTATCAAAATATTTGACTGACATACTAAAACTATTCAAAACAAGTTGAATTTAGACATTCCTGTTTCCTCTGCTAGCATCTAAAGACTTAATTATCGTAGCTTAATTGGTAAAAATGTTGGTCTGACCTTAATAACTGATTGGAGGATTAGTCATAAGGAATAGTTATGATTCAGTGCTGGCATCTTGTTACCAGATTGATGTTACAAGGCAAAAATAATTTGAGGCAACATAGAGGAAAGAGCATGGTAAAGGCAGTAGAGGTAAATGAGAAGGTAAAATTATTGCACTTTTCCTACCATTGGAAGATGTTGAACTATATATTGAATACATTTCACTTTGATGTAGCATCAGCTTGGCAATACTAATAGAAAGTAAACTTTATTTAACACCTGATATATCTGATTGTTGATGTCAATAAATCATTCATATGTCCATCCAATGAGTACAATTAACTGTGATTCATTGATTTGCATAAAATACCTAAGAGTGTATTTTGTTCTTCATAAATACCCACTAGGATGTCTTAATTTAAGTGAGCCCGTTTTGCTATGCTTGCTGGTGCCCACGCTTGGTATGTGTGGTTGTGCTTTGCTATTTGATTTTGTGAATCCAGCTAATGTGATCTATAATATAAAATAAGCCTTATGGTTTCAGGCATTGAAAGCATGTGTAACCAAATTATCATCAGTGAAGCTGATCATATGAACAAGCAAAAACAGACTAAAAAAACATTATTAGTTTATTTAAAAATGAGAAAAGAAAGAACTACAGGTAGTCCTCGACTTATTTCCTTTAGTGAATATTTGAAGTTACAACACAACTGAAAAAAGTGACGTGGTCATTTTTCACACAACTTTTGCAGCATCCCATGAGCAAAATCCAGATACTTTTCAGTATCTATGAGTTTGTGTCTTGGAGTCATGTGATCACTTTTTGTGACCTTCTGACAAGCAAAGTTAATGGGAAGTCAGGTTCACTTCACTGTTTTACACAATTTTACACTGAAGTGACAAGAAAGGTCATAAAATGGGAAAATAAATTTAACAAGCATGTTGCTTACCAAAAGAAATTTTGGAGTCGTGTTACCTCTCTTGCACACTCACACATCGCATTAAATAATGACTTTAAATCATGGTGTATTGATTACATCCTAAACAATTTATGAATTAAGATTACTTTCTAAAGAGGAGGTTATCTGTGAAAATCTAAAAGAATCGGGCTCCAAATGTACTGAATAGCATTGCTCACTAATAACTAATTGAAGGTATAAAGACTAAAGTCTTATAAACTAACAAGTAAAACTAAACAAATCTGTACTTGACAATTTTATTATGTTCTTTATTAAAGAGACAATATCTATTAGATATATTTTGTTAACTTTTTGAACTGCTCTACTGTAATATAGTAAAAATAGCTAATACAGATATATAAATTACATATTTCTGCCAAAAGTACAGACACAGATTAACAACAGGATATATATAATGTTGCACCATGTATCTTGACTCATTGGAAATGGCGGAACTAGCTAAATGTATATATTTTCCTCAAGCTACAGAGGGGTAATTTAAAATACAATATACTGGAAATAACTGGAACAGAATTAATATATAATTTTATTATCATGATTTTAAATAATCTAAATATCATTCTTGCTAATCTGTATATTGCATTATTTTAAGTTTTTTTGGTTTCGTCCAGGAAGCTCAGGATAATCTTCTCGCAAAAGTATGTGACGCCGACATGTTGGACATGTACTGTGCTCCTTAATCCATGGCCCAATACACTATATAAGACATAAAAAGATTGTACAAATATCTGATTAAAAATATAGGGCTATGAAATATGGGAAGAATCCGCTCTTAAAAAATAAAGTAAAATTGAACAAAATATTTTAAACCTCCAAAATTAATGTCTGCACCCCTGCAATCATATGAAAAAAATTTGGTGCTTAGCAGTCCACAAAGGTGCCTTAACTCCCCCCCCCCCCGCCCAAATCTCTGCCTGCACTTTTGGCTGCCCTGGACCGCAGAACTTCATGGCCAGTGTTGGAACTGAAATAGATCCCCAGGGCCTTCAGTAGTCTCAGCTAGTTGCCAACCACCCAGTCTTTACCTTAGGCCCAGCACCACTGCCACCTCATGCCCCGTGACTTGGCCAGCCATACCAGCAACACAATGCCATGCCTCAGCTGTTCCTACTCCCTCCAGGCTCTACTGTGTTCTGCATGCTGCTTTGCTGCCTTCCTCTCACTGCTGATGAAATGGGCCTGGCCTGAGCCTGTGCAAGGAAGCTACTAACCATGCCAGGATTTCTTCCTGAGGTAATTTGCGTCACCCTCCAAATAATGCACACTGTTCTCACAATGCTTCAGAAGGTTTCTGAGGCCTGAAATCTTGCAAGAAGGCTGCACCACCATTCTCCAAATCATATACATCATTTTAGTGATTCTTTTTAGTGATTCTTTTTTGAGATTATGTTCAAAAAGTTTCCGGCACCAAGTACGTGTTTCACAGTTGCAATTTCTTGGTTTAAACCTCTGAATTCTCACCCTGTGGGCTGCTTTTTCTGCCACTTCCAAACAGACTGCTATTCCTCCTGTCTAATATGAAAAAAGCAATCCTTTCTTAAAGTGCCATCCCTGAACTGGTCATTTTAAATTACTATCATCCAGTCTCCAACATCCCAGTTTTAGGGAAGTTGAAGAATATCACTGACAGGGCTCTGGAAGAGAAGAAAACCTTGTACTTCCTTGAGGAATGTCAAGAATTACCAGTTTAAGAAACATTCTGTAAGTTTCTGCAGGTGAGGCTTTCAAAAAGAAATATTCTACTTTACTGGGCATTGTGGGATCTCAAGGAAAGTGGAGGATATTGTATTTTAGAGTCCACAAAGAAATGGTACAGAAAATTCACATTATTTAAGCATCTTTCTGCTCATAGTTTTTGGTGCTGATATGTGAAAGACAACATACTGACCTGCCTATCCTAAGGAAAAGCAATACTGTAGCTATCTAAAAGTACAACTGCAATAATACATAATGCTATGGAAGCATTATATTTCCATACAATTATGGTATACCCATTTTTGAAATTGAAAAACTCATTTCTTAAGTGAGGTAGATCACATTAAACATACTAAAATATTTTTTATGCTATACGTATCAGCCTGAGCAGTGAAAGGCTGGTTCTGGAAACCAAGATGATTTCAACTTCCACAATATAATTTGTGTTTTTGCTCCCTAAGAGCAAGTTCCCTAAGTATATATTGCAAAGATTATGATTATATTAAAAATTGATGCAACACAGTAGCAATTATCTAGTCATTTACAAAGTTGCAAGGAACAAATAAAAATCTATGCTGATAATTCACTTACCAGTTTGTGAAATCTATGTCCACAATCCAGAACATGCAACAGATTTGAATTTAGCTCTTCATGACATATTACACATGGATCATTATCCTATAGAAAAATGCATTTGTCACTTCAAAACTACTTCAAAAATTATTGATTTGCTGTGCATTAACAGAAAATAAATACAGGCTCTCAAAAAAATTCCAAAAAGTAATTGCCATATCTAATATTTTACATGCATAAAAATCTCCATGATCTGCTGTTAAAGTGGCAGACTTAAGTCAGTGTGTGATCTCCTGAAAGCAGTTGATTCAGCAAGTCTGAACCAAATGGGCGGTTTGACTCAATTACCTTTTAAACAGAAATTTAGCAGCATCAAAATAAAAATGCATCATTCTAATCCATGAGGCTTTCCAAAATTTATTTACTTAAGTCTAGAATAAACGTTATAACCCAGTGTCAATAGATTAGAAAAAATATTGCATCCAGAGTTCTATAAGTGAATTCTGCTCATTAAAGAGCATAGGAAAAGACACGGGTTCAGAGAACCAATGAAGATTATGTACTTTACAATTATATGGCTCCCCCATCCCAATTCCTATAAAGTTATCTTTCATGCAACATATTATTTTTCTAATAACTATTTCATTTGTGGAAAAAATAGTGCTATATCATTATTGTTCAGTTATTCATTAAAATTTATATGAGATGACGAAGGTGGGATCATATGTGTCATTAGTATGGAATTGCAATGCTCCCACAAGAGACCCAAGTCCAGCCCCCCCACTCCTTGAATTCCATTGACTATCTATCTAGCACCAATTTGCCTTGACCATTAGATCACATTCTTGTGTATGGATAGCATGTAAAAAATAGAAGTGCTTAGAACTAAACTTCTGTTCCTGGTTATTTCCACTTGACAAAACCTTTGAGAAAATTTTAATTCCAGTCTTTAATAAGATTTTGGAACCTCCCATGTCATATTGGTATGGAACAGTGTTCACTTTTACTCAATTCAACTTTGAAAAAAAATCTGAATTTTGAAAATTGATTAATTTAGCTCATTCTCTGATTTCTATATTAGACACTGCCTACATTTTGAAAACTATTCTAAGACCTTGAAAAATAAAAAGTTTATGTTTAAAAATTTTAAAGGGCTTTGGAAAGAATATATATGACATTTCTAAAATAACACCAATTATCTAAGTGATTTATCAAAACAATAGTTTTCATAGAAAACCTACAATGGCATCATTTGATTTTTTCCACTTTGATTTTGAAGTTTCACCAATATTTTTCCATGGCATCTGATTTGATTGAGGTGGAAGTCTAGTTTTATTTTTCTTTTCATTAGCAGCTTTAGATTTTGGTTTATTTTGTATCAATGTGTTTAATACTTTTTGAGTATGACTTCCATTTTCTCCTGAAGTACAAGAGGATAACTTTTCATTTTTTCCAGAAGAGGAAAGAACCTTTAAAAACATAATGGAGAAGTATTAGTAACATATTTTTAATTTATACTTTATTTTTGCATGTTTAGGCAGTTGACAAATATGCTGTATGAATTAAAAATAAATGATTATTTGAAGCAAAAGCAAAAAGCAAACAAAAGAGAACATATCAGTAATAAGCATTCCAAAATAGCACCAAGATAAAAAATGTCTAAGCAAAAACAAAATCCCTCTGATAACACATACTGAATGCCAAATAAAAATGAAACATGAAAAACCTATACAGGTAGTCCTCAAGTTACAACAGTTCACTTAGTGACCAAAGTTATAGCAGATTTGAAAAAACTGACATGACCATTTTTCACACTTATGACTTGCAGTATCCTCATGGTCACATGAACAAAATTCAGATGCTTGGCAACTGACTCATTTATCACGATTGCAGTGTCTTGGGGTCATGTGATCACCTGTGACCTTTTGACAAGTAAAGTTAATGGGGAAGCCAGATTCACTTAACAACCATATTACTAACTTAACAACTTCAATGTTTCACTTAACTATGGCAAGAAAAGTTGCAAAATGGGGCAAAACTCAAAGACGTTTTACTTAACAACAGAGATGGTGGGCTCAGTTGTGGTTGTTAAGTCGATGACTACCTGTATAACTTGCTTGGGAAGCTATTCAGAGTCTTTTGAGCTACAACAGAAAAAGACTTATTGTTCACTTCTCTTTTGATATGAATGCGACTTAACTACAGGGACTCGCATACATATTTCAGAATGAATGATAACCGAACAACCTAAATTTTTCCCACCTTAGGTAGAACATGAATGAGTCAATTTAGATTTTCTTTTGTGAATTTATCAATAGCAATTATCAGTAGCATATATACCATAGTGTATCATATGTATTGTATGGGGGTTTCTTGATAGCTACATAAACATTTTCTGGAAATTACCTTTTTTGTGTTTGGATGATCCAAGATAAATTCAGTTACCCTGTTTAGGTACTCATCTGTGCTCAACTTGTTTCGGTTTTTGACATTGACTTCTTTTATAAAATTTTCTAAATCTGAACTGCAGGAGAGAAGAAACACAGGTATTCAGATATTTTGCGGGAAGATAAATACTGTACAAATATTTTAGAAAACCTGATTATCTACAACTGAATTGCATTCTATGCCCCGTCCCCATTAGTATTCTCAAGAAAATATATATATATTTAAAATAGCCACTTACTATTTCTTTACCTTAAAGCATCCTAGAAACATTGAAAACTTAAGACATCCACAGGTCTTTAGATAAAACAAAGACTCCACTCTGAATTTAAGTGTTATAACTCATCCCATGAATACTTAGTTCCCACTCCTGTTTCAGAAGAATTTGTGCAACAGGGTCACATATAACTGAACCCCAGGCAAAGGACTCTATATAATAATGATTTACTATACTGTTACTATTTTAAAAATATCCTAAGAATAGAATCTTAAGAAAAAAATAGAAACATGGTAATAGGCAGCATGGTACAAAAAGCACTGTCCAGAGATGCGTTGCTCCCGGTTCGGCCCAGATCAGGCGAACTGGTAGTAGCGGCAGCGAGTGGCTCCGCCCATCCACCCGGACACTTCTGTGCATGTGCAGAAGCGTCGCCCATGCAAGCGAACTGGTAGTAAAAAAAAAAGAAACCCACCACTGGCACCATTTAATTTTGTGCCCATACTGAACCACAGTTCAAAACCCCACAAATTTCAGGCATTAAAAATTGCTTAAGATAATGACAAGAAGAACCATTTCAAATTTTCTCTTAACTTTAAATCATATTAGGAAAAGCAAAAATAGTTAACTATTTCTAAAAATTTGTGCCAGAGTACATTTAAATTATACATTGTACAATTCTAACTAGATTTTACACATGCACACAACATGATTTTTAACTACAGTGCGAGCTATCCATTTTTTTCTACTGTAGATATACCTTGTGTGGTATGGAAATATAATTCTAAGTTGGTCAATGATATTTTCAGATAGCTTTCTGAGGATTGGCTTGTTTAGAATTGTAGCAGAGTCCAATTCTGCAGCTCTTGCTCGTTCCTCTAAAATGCTATGCAGTGGCTGGATATTCTGAAGACGTCTTCCTGAATTTCCTAGTGATTGAGGCAAGCATACTTTATCAGAAAGTGAGCTTTGTCTGCATTCAGCAGGCAGTTCTCCAATGTCTTTATCTGAAGGAGCCTCTTGATTTTTATTGCCAGTGTGAGTTTTAGCTTTGGAAGATAAGGAGTAATTGTCATTAACATGTGAAAATGGAGCAGACTGCGGAGCGGCAGCTGAACACATTATGATGGCTGGATCATTAATAGGAGACTTCTCAAGAGTTGCCTAAAGAGAAAAAATAGCACAAAGATCAGATATGATGAGAAAAAGTATTCCAAGCATTCTAAAACTGTTTCTGCCACAAGAAATAGCTTGAGATTGAAGTTTGTATTTATTTATAATTTTAAAAACTGCTCAGACTATCAACCACTATCTACTCTGCATATGATTCAACACAGAAGAATATTAGCAGAACGGGGGCTGAGATTTTCTATCCAAATATTGTAACCTATCAGTCTTTATTGTTCATTGTTGAACAATGAATCTTATACTATCAAAGCCTTATTTTAATTTCAATCTCTGGGCATTCAAATGGTGTTTTATGACAGCAATTTAGACAAAAAGCTGAAGAATTCTCACAAATAAAGGTAAATATACATGTCCCAGGATAATGATGCAGAATCCAATCTAAGTTGGTACAACGATCAATGACTTAATAGCCAGCCACCATCACCCTAATTAACAACTAAAAGCCACACAACAAGACACCACATAAATATTACACATAAATATTAGAGAGAGAGAAGTTTCCTGAGGATGGGCTCCAGCAAGAAAGCTTGGAAGACCAAAACTCTGGTCCTGGTGACTGACTCAGATTGGATCCTTAAGAATTATTGGTTTATGCCTCAGCCTTCCATTGTTCAAAACAGCTGGTAATGCCAGATACCTGTTTCTTGTTATTGTATATATTCCCACAGGAAAAAGAACTCTAGAGGTCCCAGTACATGAGGAAACTTCTCTGAAAAAATCTGAGTAAGTTACAGAACTGTAAACCTTCAAATGTGCAACTGTGATAATGCAGTGATCTGTTCATTTTGTATATAAAAATACTCATAAAATAACTTACTAGTGACAAACCAGTAGGTGGCTGAAGATCTCCAGTTTCTACTGGGGTGATACGATTTAGGAGATCACCGTTTTTTACTACATAAATCCTCTCTTCAAACTGACTCTGTGGAAAAGAGATATCTTTAATATTCTTAGATCAGAATTTTCTATCAAGAGTAGACTTACTTAGCTGAAAGCCCAAAATAAAATCTATCAGTAAAAACTATATAATGAACTCCTGACTCTTAGGCTAATTTCATAACACCTGGTTCCTAAATGATGTCATGACACATGCAAGACTCTTTTTATTAGTTAAAAAAGAGAGAAATTAATATCCCACAAAGTAAAGCACTAATCTCAACTGTTATTTATTATTATGATTAGGTTGCAGAGTCTGCGAGATGTTTAGGACCTGAGGCAGATATTGATGTTTCATGGTGTCAGAGGTATTTGTTCCAGGATGTAAACTATTCTACTAAGTGTGTGTGTGTGTGTTTTATTTGTGCTGATAAATAAATAAAGGAGAGAGAGAAGTTAAAACACAAATAAAACACAAATATAACAAAGACAACAGTAAAAATATTGGGTTTCTGTCGTGATGGACTCTTGTGACGAGCCG